TGGTGGAAGGAAATATGTGCAAGAGTATATGAAATAGTGCTTAATTCCTGTTCCTTGAAGATGCAGGAGAAGGTCAAACAGGTTGGTGAGAGGCAGCTGGGCTGTGTGGAATAGCACATCAGCAGCCTCCTGAAGGGAAGAAGTGTCTTTAGGAAATGGGCAATAACCTCTAAGCCGAAGTGGTGCAACTGGGGGAGGAAAAGGCTGGCTGAGGGAACAAGCCAGTGGCACGGTGGAAGTTACTGTTGCCAAGGCTGAGGTTTCCTGCACCTTTGAGGATTCCTCTTGAAAGTAGCGTTTCTTAAGCTGTTTTAGAGGCACGTTAGCTCTGTCCTTGTCTGTTCCGTATTTGCAACACAGATTGGCAGCTATTTAGTTTAACTAAACTTCCCAGAGTTAACCCCCTCTCCCTGACTTACCCTTGTGTCAGACTGGCAGAATCCCAGTCAGCTTTTGAATGTCTTTAATATGGGCAACCTCTGTGTGTCTAGGTCATAGGGTCTGAATGTAGTCTGAGCTCCACAGCACGTTTAGTATTTTTTAACTCTTAAAGCAAAGTTTTGACTTAGTTTTACTACTACCACTTCTACTCCCGGTTCTACTGGTTGGTAGAGTTCTACTACCAGTTTCCTTTGCATATCTGTATTTCGTATGTTCTCTGTCAGGCTCCTGACGTGCATACATCTACAGAAAAAGGATATTATTTACTTTTTGTATCGTTTTTAACAAAAGAAAAGGAATGCTTTGAAAGTACTTTCATTTTGCATACTGATCAAACGGACCCATTTAAAAGCCCTTATTTAGGTTAACTGTAGACCTTATCCTGCTTAGTTCATTCCAGCCTCATCCTCTGTGTAAACAGTGCCAAAGTAATACTGATAGTGGCTACTGACTTGTATGTAAAAGTGGAGTTCATCTTAAACAGTTCTGGAAATCAGACCTCTGGTTCATTTGGAATTGTTTCTAGCCTGATCCCATTTACACTCGCTATGAGTGGTTCTGCTCTACGAGCTTCCTCACTACACTTGATTAGTGCTGTTCCTGTATTGTTCTGAAGTAATTAGTGAATAGCTGCTCTGAAGTGTGACCTGAACCATTAATGAAACTTTTCACTTTTTTTCTTTTGAATAGAATTTTATTTGTTGGTAAACTATGTGCAAGTAGATTATCTTCATTGTAGAAGAAACTTTTAGGACTAGCAAGTATCCTAAAGCAAGGCTCTCAAATATAACCCATCATCTGTTCATCACCAAGCTGTGTTACAGAGCCCACACTTCTGGTGAATCTTGTCATCTGGTCCGTGATGGTAAACCATCAAAAGCAAAAGATTTTTATTTGATGGCTTGAGTAGAACACTTGTCAGTGTGGAAGTTGAACTTCCATTAACTTAGTTTTCAAAAATGTTTTTGTGCCAAGTGTTAAAAAAGGAGGGCTACTTTTAGGTTTAGTGGGCCTAATTTTTATGCTTATGGGCATTAGCCATCTAGCAAAGTCAGAGGGTATTTAACTTAGTCAGATAAACTGCTTTAGAATGAGCCCATGAAAAATTCTTTTGCCTTTTCCTTACTGAATATGACAAAATACTTATTTTTAAGTTTTCTTGAAAGAAGTATGGGGAAAGAAAGATCTACAGCATATGAAAAAGTATGATTCAGTGTTTATCAAGCTATGTTTTATTAATAGCAACAATAGTGTAAACAGATGCTTTAGTGATTACTTAAAATGCAACAAAATAGTCCTTGTACTGAGCAGGGGAAGAAGTATTTAAGGTCAAGAATACTGCAACTAAATTTTCAAAAATATGCATTTTAAAATTTATTGTGCCTGTAATGCAGCATACTGTAGCTGAATATATAATGATGCTTGCATTCTGGAAGTACTAAATTTTCTTTAGGAACTCAACTCCCGTTTTTTTTTAATCGTCTGTTGTTTGAAGTCATAAGTACAGGGGTATAAGTTTGAAGGCTACCCAGATTTTTTGTTTTATTTTTTTTCAGGCACCTTTGTCATACCTTCGTATTAACTTGCCTTTTAGTGTAAATCAATAGCAATGTGGAAAAAAAATGTAGGCATATTTCATGTGAAAATAAGCTGCCAAATGTGATTTTTTTTGACCTTGCAACAGTGCCCGTGCAAGCTCAGGAAGGAGTATGTGCCGGTTTGAAGGTGGCCGGGGAGGCTGACGTGGTGATAGGCAGGATGCAGCTGGGAACTGCACAGTGGTTCGTGGGGGAGATAACAAGAGAGATGGGGTTTCTTTCCTGTATTAAGAAACTCTCAAGTTTAAGAGAGGTTATGCCTTAGGCTCCCTAGTGAGTTATATTTTACAGGCAAGTGCACTGGGTCATTTTTTTCCAGTGTCTGCGGTAGCCTGCCCAGCATCTGAAAGACATTGCAAGGAGTTCTAGGAGATTTGGAGACATACTCCCAGTTAACAAGACTTTCCAGACTCTTGTAGTGTTTCTTTTTGCTGCTTCTCTCTGTTTTCTGAAGAAAACATGGATTATGAAGTTGTGCTTACTGCACTGGTTTGTCCTCATCTCCATGTCCCTCTGCCCTTACTAGTTTTTAGTCCTTTGGCAAGTCTCAAAGAGAATTAAGACAAATAGTGAAGTCTAAAAGCATACTTGTTCTCCCACAGTTCCATGAAGATGTTTGTCTCTCCGATTAATGTTCCCAGGATGGGAATGACAGAGACATGAGCTATTAGGCAACAGTAATTCACTTAGCTCTTCACTGTCAGGATACAAATTCAAAGGAGATCAAGCTTCACTGATTCTGCTCTGTGAGATATTACTTGTTGTTCTACACTTCAGAATGCTGATTGGGCCTTAATTCTAATGTATGAATTTTAAATGGTGGTGGTTTGTTGTTGTATTTTTTAACCTTCCTGTTCTAAGAGTGCTGTTAAAATAAGAATGCTGTATTTTCAGCTATAAACTCAAATAGTAGTAGTAGTTTGGTAAGGCAATTGAATATATAAAAAATAGAGAAACTGTTTTCTTCCAAATAAACCACAGTATGAGGAAATGCAAAAAGGAATGTTCCCTGCTTCTAGTTTATTTTTTATGCCTGCCATAATGCAATTACTTTTGTTATAAAAGTAAAATAAAATGGTATCATGCCTGTGACTCCTCAGTGAACCATTAGATTGGAAAATAACTGGCTGTACCATGAGACAAAGATGCTGCTGGTATTTTCTTGGAAAGGTAGAAATTAATAATTTAGCAAATCTTAATAGCACAAGCAGCGTATTACTGAATTAATAGTAGGATGGAATGAAATTTTTGTCAAATGGAAAAATAATATATCTTTCAACTGTTGCTGAATTTACAACATCTCTTTCAAGTATTAACCACTGTGATATCAGGTCCGTCTTACTTCTTCAGACTATGAAATTTTTGATTGAGAAGTTTTCTCTACCTTAAAACAACAACAAAAAAAAAACAAACAAAAAACTGAAAAACATGGTATGCTAAATCTCTGAGGTCTTGTTTCCATAAAACATAAAAAAATCGGAGTGTAAGTTAGATTTAGATTTACTTTTGAATTAATTAATGTCTCATTCAGACATTCTTAATAAAGAAGAAAAACTTTGACAGATGAGTTGGTTTTGTAAATCGCTGCTGGTGTAGTGTAGGTTAGCAGATTTGGTTGACCATTGATTTAACTTGCTCCAAATTTGAAATCCAATTTGATGTGCAAGATGTGATTTCATTGCTTCATGCTCCTCCCTTCCCCTTTCCTTTTATAGGATAACTTTTCTCTTGTCTTAAATATTTTAGGAAATACCTGACAGATCACAGTTTCATTTATTAGCAAGGAGATGTCTAACTTTGGGGTAATTCCCGTTTGTGCCTTTCTTCAACTCCAGGTAGTAGCTGCTATCCACCTCCATTGCGTATCTATCATTAGATTTTGCTTTATGTTATAAATGCTACAGTGTTTTCAATGACTTGAAAATGTTTTACTCTAGCTCTTTCTGTAATATATGATTAATTGCCTTCATTTCTCGTGGCTACACTTTGCTTCCAAATGTAAGTGAAACCTGCTTTCTGTGCTCCTTAAATCAAAGACTCGGACTTGTACTGGTGATGTACTGGTGATGGTGCTTGCTTTACTCTCTGAACATCACTGTCTTCAGGAAAGCCAGCTGATTTCTTACCACAATTTAGCAGGGTCTTAACACAGCTCCTCCCTGTGTGTTTGCCTGCTTGGTGGGCAACAGCTTCCTCTTGGTCTCCTGTCAGGAACAGAAGTTTGGTAGGAAAAGATCAGAGTTGTCAGTACAATGTGTCATGGGAGGAGAGCATCTATGTCATTGTAGACGGCAAGGAATTTGCAGATTAAAGTCCCAGGTAATCAGAGGATAGAGGTCAAATGAACAAATCACCTCTGCTCCCCAAACAAAAAAAAACATTTTCTTGCCAAGAAAATATTTCTTGGGACTTGGTAGAATTGGACCGGAGAAGCCAATCCAGACCATAAATCTTGTTTAGCCATGAGCATGTTATTGGGATACGCTCTACAACAGTTTTGCTCAGACTAAATGCTCAAGTAAGTTCAATTCAAATATGCCGATTCTCCATGTAATTAGTTTAAAAATATTCAAGGGTCGTTTATTACCTACAAATTTAAACTTGAATAAAAAGTGGGGAAAAACAACACAAACTTTTATTACAGCCGTGTGAGTCATTTAAATATCACCATGTTGATCTTTGCTTGAGAATCTGAAAATTAAACTGTTTAGATCATTTCAATTGAAGAGACCAGAAAATGTGAAACTATGAAAAGCTAATTGGATGAAATAATTTGTGTATTTTAGTAGGACTTACCTGCCAGGGTCCTTTTCTTAAAAATAAATATATAAATAATGTAGAAATTCTTCTTCCCATTTTCACTCCTTAGGTGTAGATACTCCTTGCGAAGAAAAATGATTCAAAACAAATGTGATGGGACTTGTGTTTAGTATTGTCTCTGTTTTTCTGTTTCATTTGAAGGTCATTCTGTGAGATTACTGGGTCAGAAAAAGGATAATGGAAAACGTTTGGGAGGAGCACGACTAGATTTGCCAAAAATCAGGAAGAATCCACTTATAGAAATCATATCCGTCAATACAGGGTAAGAAACTTCTGAAATTACATAATATTTATTACTACTGAGCATTTCAGTTCATCATTTTCTGCAGGCTTGGCTTATAACTCCTAAAGTTTACAGAAAGAGGAAGGATGACCACTTGAAATTATATATTTTTTTGGCATGCTTTCTTTCTGCAAAATAAATCCCTGCTTATTTGGTGCAAAGCTTGTGCTGCTTCTGGTCCTTGTATCTAGCTTCTTAAAAAGGAAAATTTGATGGGGAGGGGATTATTTTTGTCTATTTTGCTCTTTCGAGTTTTTTAGAAGGCAGTTCTTGAACATCATTCTTACTGCTAAGATCTGTAAATATTTCATTATCTGTCTAGATGTATTAATGGCCAGATTAGACATGTTCATTCTTTTATTGCTGTACCCTTTGGTGATACATTTATAAAGAGTTATCAGATTCAAATTTCAGCCTTGGCTTCAGGTCTGTCTATCAAGATTGCCATTTCTCATCTGTAAGACTGTGAACATTTTCCTGTTTTGTGTTTTGCTTTGAGGGATTGCATTTGTAATCCCCCCTCAGCTGATACCTTCCTTTTCCAGACTGCATTTAGTCATCTCTGCTCAGTCATTTCCCATTGGGTCTATATCTCCCCGCTAAAAAAACAAGTCCTCTTCTGATTTTTTTCTATCCGTCTCCTCCGATGTAGTAATTTCCCAAGTGGTGAAATATAAAATGCTTTGTTCCAGGCACTCCAGGTAGATGAACACTTACTAGAAGAAACATTACAGTATATCTTGGCTTTCTTCATTTTTAAGTCTAGCACTTTTGTAAATGTTTCATAATATAATTTATAACATACTGTCCTACATTTACTTTCATATCTTTAGGTATTCTTTTGTTCATATTTTGCTGTAGTAGCTGGTGTGCTATTTAGATCAGAGTGCTAGTTCAAGATTGTGTGGTTATTTTTCTTCCTCTAACATAAATATGTGGATGACAAGTTGTCATATTGCTGAGTTATAATACTTTTAAAACTGCAGCTTCGTGTAGTATTTGGTTTTCTTTCTTTCTTTGTTTTTTAAGCCCTTTTTGGTGCACTTAAAATGTGAGCTACGTGTTCTTTATTGTCTTTCCCATTGGCATCTTGTCTGTGCCTATGTAATCAAAATCCTTTTTTTTGTGATTAAAAATACACAAAGTTTTCTTTTTAATTTGGTTATTTATAGGTTTCAGATGGTTAAAAAAAAAAAACTTTTCTATCAATACGAGTCACAAACATTTGTAATAATGTGCTGTTGTCAGGAATGTAAACTGATTTAGACTGTTTTTTTTACATATCTTCTAATTTGTAATATCATTTAAGATAATAAAATGCATTGTTATTTACAGTAATAGATTTTTACTAGGCTAACGATAGATGTATCAGCAAGAGGCTACTACAGGGTATAAACACCACCACACAGCTGATCAGTGGCAACCGATCTTTACAGACTTTTCTTATTCTGAAAATAAATACTTTCCTTTCCAAAAATATTTTTCAAACTGACCAAATTATAGGCAATTAACGTCTTCCTAAGATGGTGGCCCAGGAAAGCCTTTTTATCTGGGACCTGACAGTTGATTAAAAACTCCTTACTTTGATTAGCAGTTATTGTTTGCTTTAAGTAAACACAAGGTGTATTTTACACGTTTGGAATGTCTAAGAATACCAGGAGCTACAACAAAGTATTTATTTCCTGCAGACTAGGGCAGAGAATACCAAAGTGCTTCAAAATCCTCTCGCAGGTTGGTTGAATATGGTGGCTAACTAACCAGGGCCGTGCTGTGTGTTACGTTGCTCCCTCAAGGCGCGCTGCCTGTCCCGCAATACAGGTTGTTGCTTTTCCCTGGCCTTTCTGCCCGGGTGTTGCTGAGGCCTCTTTAGGCCGTGACTGGAGATAGGCCTGGGCATGGACACACCAGTTAAGCTCAGACTCTAGAGCCAAGCTGGGATCCTGGCCTGCAGGGCTCTGTGCAGGCCCCAGTTGCGCTAGGTAAAGGCCACGAAGGCCCCGTGGTGTGTAAGCCATTTTATAAATGGGGTCTTAATGAACTCTTGGCTTCTACTGTAGCTCTGCAGGGGGAAAGCTACATTGCTTGAACATGTGTACCCCACAGCCCCAGAGCATTAGAGTCCTTGATGGCTTGTGTCAGCCCCATCTCCCTCTCCAGGAACATGAATATCTTATGCGTTGTGCAAGCTTGAAATTCTGTTCTTTCATCATTTTTCCATCTCAAGCAGTTTTTCAGTTTTATGGTAAGTTAGGGAATACGAAGATCAAATTTTTTCAAGAGCTGCATTTTAATTTTATATGAGGTCACAGAATATTCTCTCTATATATTGCATTTCAGCATTTGTTTAAGATCAAGTCTGTAAAATGCAAGTGGACCTATATGGCCAAGAAACTTAAAACTTTCAACTCTCTGTTTTTTTAATGTGGACATTTGAAGAAAATATATTTGATTTTGTTAACTTTTGTCCCAGTCTAAAACTTACCAGTGCTAAATGTTTTTCTATTTACTTTTGATGGCTAGATTCCCATAAGGTGTTAGATAACATAGTAATAATGCTTGTAAGAAGTCTGGAAATACTTTAATGGCATGCATAGGTTAATAGCCCTGCCTGACTAGCTTTTCAGTATTAAAAGTGAATCATAGACCTCTTCAGTGCAGCCGATCTCGATGTCTGATGAACAAGAAATATCATAGACTTTCTACCTAAGATGGCACCCAGATGAGCAGAAATTGGGGGCGGAGGGGAGGAGGGGTGGTGTTTATGAAGATTTTTTTTTTGTTTTTTTTTTTTTTTTTTTTTAGCAGTAGTTTGGGCTTGTAGTTTCAGTCCCTCTATATTCTGTTCCTGCTGTACCATTTCACAGCATGTGTCTTCTCCAGAAGCAGGCTCAGCTCTTCCTATTACAATACAACTTTCATACGAGACAAGTGTCCCACAGGGACCAGAGTAACTGCAGCTCTGTACTGCATAGCTCTCATGAGAAATGGGAACATGGTCATAAACAAGACAGACAGGGATTATAAAGCAGCTGGTCCCTATGTGCTGATCCGTGGTGGTCGCTGTGTGCTAGACCATGGCATATATGCCATGGTTCTGCCTGGCTGTAGAGCGACGGCCTCTTACTTAAAGTGAGCATATACCAAAATTGTTTAGGTATCAATTAGCATGCACCAGAATTTTTCTAAGTAGAGGAGTAAATTAGAAGTTGGTAATTGTCATAAAAAGAACCCCTGCTTCTGATGGCCCACTACAGAAACTCAGGGATATCACCATGTTGTCCAGATTTTTGGCTAATTGGACTGGCTGAGCTAGCTTCTTACCTTTTTGTGATATTTAGCAAACATCAGCCGCACTTATGAGACTATCTGCTAAATTGCTTTGACCTCTGACTCCTTTATAGCCTTTGGGATGACTTTTTTGCCCCCCTCTGCTGAAGGTGGTAAGATATTTCAGTCATAGACTCATGAGCTCAATGAAAAAGTTATTGCTGTTTTGGCTTTCTGTATTTTTTGATGTGTACTCTCCCCTAGCATGATATGATCTCTAGGTTAAAAATAATAATAATAATAAAAATCCTTCTATTGTGTGAAAAAATGAATTACCTGCCGTTTGACAGTGATAAACTTGTTTTTTTGGCAAGCTCATAGACGTATCTATCCAACTATCCCACAATGTTGTCAACAACTTCCATCTTCTAAAACATTACTGTCCCCATCTTGAGTGAATACTTAATTTGAACTACAAATTACTTCCTATTCTGTAACAAAAAAAAGACTAAATACCTACAGATTGGGTTTCATGTCTTAAGTAGATTTTTACCTTGTTCATAAATAGCATGCAATTTTTCTATGTTTTAATGCTTAACTTTTCAAGATACTCTGCAAGTGATTTAGTGCAATTACCAGAGGATTTTGATTTAAGAATAAAAGATCTATGTATCTTTTGACTCACATTCAACTTTGTGCGTGTAGAGGCAAAATAGTTCTTCTGTTGATAATAGTATTATACTTATTATATAATGCTATAAATGTATTTATGGATATTTGCAGTATACTTCAGTGATGTAATTACTTTGACCCTATCTGAGCTATCATGTCATATGGATAATATAATGTCAAACAGTCACTATTGAGCTCAAACATGATGCCATTCCAGAGCATATCAAGCAATTTAGTCTCAGAAAACAGGGCTAGTAATCCTGGAAAGCCTATAGTCTCACAAAAGGTCACCTCTCCACCAAAACTGTGGATATTTATTTATTTTTTCACTTTAATCAGTGTTTTGCATGAACATAATTTTTGCTTCCGACTGTACTATATACTAGACGTATTTAACTAGTTGTGTACAGTATAACCAATCTTTTTGGTTTGACATAGCAGCTCACAGAATAATTTATATAATAAAAATGTGTGAAATGTTTGAATATGTAATGAAAATACATAACTGTTTGTATCTGGAAGGCGTTTTAATTTTTAGCATACCATCTGAAAAATTGGTATTCCAAAACTTGCAGAAACCACACTGCTGTAACAGAGGGAAGAAGAAAGAGTTGTTTACAACAGAAAGTTTTTTAAAAGCCTACTTTTTTTTATTATTTTTTTGCCTAAGGTCTCTTTCCACTGCAGCTTACTGTAAGTCACATCCAGGGTCATTATTTCCTAATTAGTATATTTAAATAGGGTATTGATGATGGCCTCTGAAAGATTGCTCTTTCTCAGTTATTGCTAATTTCTTGCAACTTTAATAATTCACATTTAAAGAAAGGAGTATAAAAGTATTGCAGTATTGCATTTATTTGAAGCACTGTGCTAGATTGTGCTACACAGTAACAATTTCATCAAGTACATTCAAAAGCAGGGGGGAAAAAAACAAAAAACAATTACCAGAAATTGTCAGGAAGAAGTGATATATGGGTGTGGGTTACATTCTGCTCTTGCAGTTGTGTTGCTTTAGCAATTTCTACATTGCAGGGTGAGCA